TTGATAAATGGATATTACTTGTAATGAATTCAGGTCCATAAGTTCTTTCTATATTTATGGACATATCCTTTAATCGTTCTTGTGTTTCTTGCAAATTGTCTTCTGTAACAAATCTAGTAACCAATAAGTTACATGTCCAAACAAAATGTCCTAAAATCTTTCTATCATTATCATCTAACATGTCCCATAGAATTGTTGTTGCATAAATCATTCCATTGATTAGCAGTGAACTTTAAAAATCTTTCTCCAATAGTAATTTTTGAAGGAATTTGACTAATATCAGATGGAAGTTGAATATTATCTATCCTCCTTTGTGCTATACAAAGTTGCTCAGAATTTAATTTATTCTCTTTAATAAATATGGATTGAATAATCTATTTTGCAACCCTAAGGAACAAGCAATGCATAGGATCCCGTACTGCGAATTTGATTGGATCCATGTAAGGGAGACGAAGTAATTTAGACTATCATACTCTGTGCTCTTTGAAATGAGCTTCCTTTGTTCCTCTGGTAATACATCTAAGCTATTCTTGAGCATATTGTTTATATTTTTGGAGGTCCGCAGATTTTCTAATCTATTGTTTATAATCTTCCATATCACCATAATAAGTTTTTTGAAACTTCTCACTATATCAGCTTCTTTTCGGGCACCTGTGGCCAGTGTTATACACGGGACATGGGACAATGGGACAAATGTCTCATGTCCCATGTCTCAAAATTGTTCCAAATTTTAGTTGTACACAGGACATATCCCACCATGTTTTTATATATTAGGGACATGTCCCAGACATTTTACATGACTAGATATTCCATTAAAAAAATTATTTTTTTTTGTTAAAGAAATATATCACTTCATCCTTTAATAATTCAATATATTGTTAGATCTAACGATAAAATTAATAAAATCAATTTTAAGACTTTTTGTAAATCCTGTATTGAAGTACTTGGTGATGAAGAAGAAAAAAAAAAATAGTTTCCAAATAAAAAAAATCGAATAATTCAATACTTTAAAAAATGTTCTAATTTTTTTACTAAAACAACTGCAGAAGAGTGAGAAGAAATCTTTAATTTATTAAAAAATAATGGTGTACCTCCTTCGACTAATGCAATTAAAAGACAAGGTTAAATTTATTTATATAAAAAAAAATAAATTTTATTAAAAAATTTAAATATTTTTTTTTAATTTCAGATATTTCTGAATCTTCTTTATCACAATCTTCATCTCAATCTGTATCACCCCATAAAATAATTGTTCATTCATCATATGGACCTATGGATAATTATATTGTTAGATCATTATCAAAGGAAGATTTAAAAAAATTTAATATTTTATTATTTTGACTTACCGTTTCTTGTGAATGGACTTTATCATGGATTAACAAACCTGAAGCTAAAGAGTTATTTAATTTTCTAAATCCTCTTTTAAAGTTATCAGATCGTCATTTACTTGAAGGAAAAATATTAAAAAAAACAGTAGAAAATTCATACGAATTAATGGAAAGTGCTCTTAGAGAAGATCCAGTTGATATAATATTAACATTTGATGAATAGACAAATGTTAAAAATGAATAATTATTAGGAATGGTTTTAATAACTTCTGAAGGTAGACCATTTGTTTGAAAGGTAGTAGATATTAGTTTAGAACGTGAGAATTATATTAAAGTAATGGAAAAAATATAATCTATGGTTAAAGAATTAAATAATAAACAAATTACCATTTGTGCGGTCATTACTGATAGTGTAGGAGCATATGCAGTGGCAAGGTAAATTTAATTTTTATTATTTATTTAATTTATTAAATTTATTTAATTTTATTTAATATAATTTTTTTTATATTAGACGTAAATTGAGAATTTCGATGTGATCACTTGTATTTTTATCATGTTTTGTTCATTAACTTAATTTATGTGTGGGTGAAATTTTCAAAGAATCAGTGGAATTTAAGACTACAATTGATAAAGGCATTCGTCTTGCAACATATTTTCAAAATTCAAACAATAAATTCTTTATTGCAAACTTAAAAGAACTTCAGTATGAAACTTATCAAAAATATATTATGCCAATTGTTCCTGCGGAAACAAGATGGAATAGTATTTATATGATGTATACAAGTCTTTTAAATACTCAAAAAGTATTGCAAGTAAGTTGTAAGAATTTTTTTTCGTATTTACTACACCACCTGATTTTCTATTTAGAATATTAATTTAATTATAAATAATTATTATTTTAGATACTGGCTATTAAATTTGAACCACCAATTGTTGAACCTTGATGTAAAGAAAGAGATAGTTCAAAAATTTCACAAGCAATATTTGAAATTATTAATTCAGAAACTTTTTGGAAAAATCTTTTATCAATTACAAAAATATTAGAACCATATAATAAAATACTCAATATTTTATAACGTGATAAAGCACGTTTATTTCAAGTAATACATAGTTTTAGATATCTTGCACAATTTTGGTCAAGATATGATAATTTTGAATTTGCTGCAAAAATCATTGCACGACTTGAAAAATGATGGGAAAGTTGGAAACAACCGCTTCTAATATTATCATGTTTATTGCATCCAGAATATAAAATGGAATGCTTTAACAATAATATATTTAAT